GCGCATACACGGACCTGCCGGACGAAGCCGAGCTCTTCCCCAAAAATCTGGCGATGCGCCGTTTTTTTCTAGTGAGCAGCCCGAGAGGTCCCGAGCCCCTCCCCAGGAGCAGCTTTTCGTCCCGGCTCCGTTTTCATTACTCTGAAGCTTGATAGCGGCCCCCGAGGTTGGTGGCGGCGCACAGAGGGGGAGGGGGGAAAGGGGGGAAGGCTTCTTAGCAAGAGGCTGCCTCGCAGAAGGCGCCCGCCCTACATCTAGAGATAAGGCCCACGCCTTCGAAGAAGCAGGGGAGCTTCTAAGAAGCCTTCCCCTCTCCCCGCTCTCCCTTTGCGCGCAGGGCTGAAAACCACATCGTCAGACGTCCGAGGGCGGACTCGGCGGCGCCCCCCCAAGGGGGGGGAGGGGGGCGAGGTGGGCGACCTTTTTTCCGAGAAGGCGTCTACTCCGGGTTTCTTAGTAAGCGTGGGGGGGGACCCCACCGACGGGGGTCAACCTCGCATCGTCGTCGCGCCGCGACGGGGGTCGGAGCGCCTGCAGCGCGGGGTGGCTGCCCGCGACGGGGGTCAACGTGAGGCTGTCGGCGGGGGTGACGCCCCCCCGACGCTTCTCAAGAAACTCGGAGTAGGGGCCCTTTGGAGGGCAGGGGCCTTCTCGGAAGGGCCCGGTGGCTTCTGAGCGGGCAGTCCACAGAGGGCGCACGCGCCTGGCCGCGTCACTCCACGAACGCGGCCCCACGATCGAAAGCGGTACACCCCGAGTCGAGAGGCGTGAAGAGAAGAAGAAAAAACTGCACAACTTGTATAAGCATAAGAAAAAACGGCATCAGTAGAAGAATAAACGGTATACACATAAACCCGAGTCGAGTAAGCCTTCGGCGCTCCGCCCGAATTTCTCGGATCGGCGCCGGACCCCTCTCCCTGGCGCGCGGAGCGCGCCGGAGGCGCCGCCCGGGGGATATCCTGGGCGCCCTCTCGAAGCCGACGTGGCTTCCTGTGCGCGTGCGTCCGTCTTTCGCCCCAGGACGAAGACTCGCCCTCGCTCGGACGCCGTCCGTTCCCCGGGCAGTCGTCCGCCCCGCGCGTGCTTTTGTTTGGTTGGTTGCTCGGTGCCTCGATGCTGCAGGAGGCTCCCCGATGGCCCTCGCCGAGAAACGACGCCCGGGTCCGAGCTGTGGCAAGAGGAGTCCCTCCTCGAAGCCGCGGGGCCCTTCCGAGGGGGGCCCCTCTCTGCCCTCCGAGCGCGCCTCTTCTCCCGCCTTCTCGGGGAGCCTTTTTGTCCCGCCCTCTCGGGGAAGGCCGCCCCCCCCCCCCCCCCCCCCGCGCCATCCCCCCCCTGGGTTTAAGTCATCCCCCCACAGGGGGATTTTCGACGAGAAAAATAAAAAATACACCAACAATATAAGCCAAGAATAGTCCAACCATAGTCTGGGGACTATCTTTTATATGTTTTGTGCCTTGTTGGTATATTGTTGGGGTATCTTTTTTTGGTATACTGTTGGGGTATCTTTTATGTTTCGTCGAAGATCCCCCTGTTTGGGGGACACGCCCGACAGAACCTGGGTGGCAGGGGGGGGGAGTGGGGCGCCGCCGGCCGCGGAGGCCGAGCTCGGCCGGGGGCAGCACAAGCCCGGCCCCCACCCGCAGCCGCGGCCCCGACGTCCTGGTCGGCGGCGACCCGTCCCCAAGACTCCTCCTCCTCCTCCTCCTCCTCCTCCTCCTCCTCCTCCTCCTCCTCCTCCTCCTCCTCCGGCCCCGACGTCCTGGTCGGCGGAACCCAAGAGCAGGCCGGGGGGAGGAGGAAAGAGGGGGTAGCAAAGGGCATAGGGCAGACAGGGGGCAAGCAAGCCTGCCTCGCTTTTGGCCACCCTCGCTTCCGAGAGATGCCAAGCGATGCCAAGCTGCGGCCTGTACTGGTCAGGCCGCTTGACGAGGAGGCGCGTGGCATGACTTGGTTTTGCCTGGAAGCGAAAGCGGGGTAGGTAATTCACGCTCTGGGTAGAGAATCAGCTCACGTAGCCGATTTTCCCAGCGCCTCCCGGCGCCGGGAGGCGCCCACGTGTCGAGGAATGGGCCCGGCGGCGGGGCCGACACCAGATGCATGCAGCAGATTTCGTAACCTCCCCTTTCCCTATTCCCCCTCCTTCGTTCGGCCCGAACAAAAAGGTGAGCACCCCGACAGGCGGAGCCGTTCCGTAAGCGCACCCCACGGATGGGCATCGAACAGGGCAGGGCGGTTCGGTTAACGCTCATGGGCCGCCCAGAAGATGCCAACTGTCGGGGGCGGGGTGGCTTTTCCCACCCTTTGAATGAAGGGGCCCTGGGACACACAAATAAATACACACACAAACAAAAGGATTCCCAACATTTTCCCATATGTTCTGGGTCTTTGTCTTCCCCCCACTTCCCACAGTTTCCCATCTGTCCTGGGGAATCGACGATGAATTGTGTCTGCGTGTTGTTGCCCTCCTGATTGACGAGGGCGGTCAGGTCAGAGAGCACCGAGGCGCAGTGGCAGGCCAACAGGGGGCGGCGAGCGCCCCCGGGCGAGAGCGCGCGTGCTGGGAGGAGCGGGAATCGAGGCCCCCGCTCCCGGCTTGGTGGTCCAGGGGGGGGGGTCCTGGCCGGGGGTGGGGGGGTGTTTTTTGTTTTTGGGGGGGGGGGGTTTGTTCTGGAGGGGTGTTTTTTGTTTTTGGGGGGGTCCTGGCCGGGGGTGGGGGGGTGCTTTTTGTTTTTTTTTTGGGGGGGGGGTCTTATTCGAGAATAGGCCAAACCCAGTCTGGGGGCGACTCTTCTACTGCTTCCTGCCAGTTTGGAACATGCTTTGGCTGATGTGCACCTTGCTTCCAGCATGCGCCTCTAGGCGGACATGCCAGACCTGACCCACACATCTTTGGGGGCCAGAGGCCCACCCTTTACCCCAAGCCGGAACCCCCCTGGATCACCAGGTCGGGGGTGGGGCTCGCGGCTGGGGGTGGGTCTCTTGAGCAGGGACCGACCGCCCCAGCATCCGCACAAGTCCACAACGACATGCTCTTGGCACAAAACCATGATCTTATAGCACAGGCAGAACTCTTAGAACATGAGGCCGACGCGCTCAAACAAGCCCGTGCCAGCCAGAAACATTCTGCGAACACTCCGCGCACTACACCAGAAGCTTTGAGAACACTCTTTAGTAGGCTTCTGGTCCCACAAGCCCTCTGGGCGTAGGTGGTCAAACGATGTCAGTCTTTCCTCTGCCAAAATCCACCCTCACTTCGGGGAGGGGTACCCTCCCCTTCCCCTCCCAAGGGTCTGGACCGGGGGGTCGCGAGTCCTTAGGGGCCCTGTTTCGCTCAAGATGGCTCCAAGAGGGCATCCGATGTTCCAAGATGGCCTCCAAGAGGGCTCCCGATAGCGCAAGATCGCTCAAGAGGACCTCCACCGTGCCTCCAAGACGCCACAAGAGGGCCACAAGACGGTTCCAGGTGCACTCAAAGACCCCGCAGGACCTCCCCGAAAGCCAAGATCATTCAAAAAACCAAAGAAAATGAATGATTTGTGCCTTCTCGCCTTTTTTTCGCTTCCGATTAGTTTTTGAAGCTTCAAGGTGGCCCCAAGATGGCCCAAGAGAGCTCCAAGACGGGCCCAAGATGCCCCCAAGACGGCCCCAAGACCGCCCAAGAGCGCCCCAAGAGGGGGCCAAGAGCGTCCGAAGATGCCATTTTGATGGCCCAAAAGGGGGGACTAAACGTTAGTACCCCCCCCCGTTTCACTGACACCCTCCACGACAGCCCCAAGAGGCCCTCTACAGGGCTCCCAAGAAGCCCTCAAGATAGCCCCAAGAGAGCTCCAAGAGGGCCCCAAGAGAGCCCCAAGAGCGCTCCGAGAACCCAAAAAAGAGCTCCAAGGGAACTCCAAGACCCCTCAAAAGAGCCCTGCGGCCTCTTGGGTTCTCGTCGCCGTTTTCCTCCTCCTCCTCCTCGTCCTTGCCCCCATCGCATTCCTACTCCTGTTCCTCCTCTTCTTTCTGATCGTCGTGGTCGTCGTCGTCCTCCTCCTCTTTCTCCTCCTCCTCCTCCTCCTCCTCCTCCTCCTCCTCCTCCTCCTCGTCCTCCTCCTCCTCCTCCTCCTCCTCCTCCTCCTCCTCCTCCTCCTCCTCCTCCTCCTCCTCCCCTCGCCCCCACGCAGCCTCCAGGGATGGCCCAAAAAAGGCATTCCAAGGCCACCCCCTTGCTCCCAGAGATCTCTCTGTTCGGCTGGTTGCTCGCTTTGTTTCACTAGATGTGTCTCTTCGTCCTGTTTCCCGCCAGCTCTCCAGGTCAGGGCCTCTGAATGGGCCGGTGGCATACCTTTGCGTACGCAGGCGCACGATGCGAGTCGGACGCCGGGCAAGCAGGGGCAGCCTGTGCCAGTGGGGGTACTTTTTTTGTCGCGGCCGCGGGCGAAAGCGCACACGGCGAGTCGTAAGTCCAGGGCGCGGGCCTACTCATTGACAACAGCAAACTAGAGCCGACGACCTAGACTGCCTAAGCGGACTAGCCGGGGGGGGTACTTTTTTTTTGTTTTTTTGTATACAGCCGCAGGCGGAAGCGCCGGCGGCGGCGGGTCACGGTCGGGCTGCGGCCGTGACGAATTACCCGGGCGCGCGCGGGGGCCGAGGATCAGGCGGCGGTGCAAGCTGCAACCCAGGGCGTCTGAGGGGCCAGGCGGCGGTGCAAGCTGCAAGCCAAGGAGTCTGAGGGGTCAGCCACCCAGGAAGCAAGGCGGACGCGGCCAAAATGGCGCGCCGCACATCCCCAGTCATGGATCGTGTCGGACCGACAATCGCATGGTGGTGGGAATCAGTCTCCGTGCAATGGGTGTCAGGGAGCCCAGGGTGTCTGTCGGGTATGAGCGGACCGAGGGCGTAGAGCTGACGTCGTCCAGCAGGGAAAGGGCCGGTGGGGGTACACGAAGCGTAAAGAATCGGGCAAGAAGCCAAGACACCCCGCCACTGCTTGATGGGGGTGGGTTGTGCTGTCCTCATCGTCTGACCCCTGCGGCAGCGCCGGCACTCTCACACCGCCTACGCCCACTCGCGTGGCGGGCCGCCCCGCTGCGTGGCCTGCCTGTGCACCGCCGCCCCAGCCGACAGGGCGACGGGCTCGTGCAGCAGGCGCGCCTGCTCGGCCGAGGGGGGCAAAGCAGTGGCCGCTGCCGCTGCCGCGCCGACGCCTCGCCGATGCATCGCCGACGCATCGGCGACGCGGCGCGACCCCCCGACCCCCCGACCCCCTCGGGCAGCGAAAAAATCATATGCCGGGAGGCTATTCCCAAGTTCGGCCTCTGGGAGACCTCGCCAGGCCTCGGGACCGTCAAGAAACGGCTCGGAACGAGAAACCGGTCCCCGGGGAATGGGTCCAGGCCTCTGGTCAGGCTCGCAAGCATGGAGACTTGGGGCGTCGGCGCCCAAGCCGAGCAGTGCCGATTCGTGTCGGACAGTGCCCATCAGTGCGCGACAGCGCCCAGGCCGCGCGCGCCTGCGCCTCCATTGGCCGAACCCAGCGTCACGAAGAAATCATGGCGTCGGGGGTCTGGGCCCCACCTGCGCTGAGATCCTGGCGTTGCACCTTCTGTCGCGTAACCGGCGCTCCGGCTCAACTCCAGGCCCCAGGACCCCCACGGGTCGCGAGGCGGCTCGGAAAACGACGCAGACATATGGGTCTGGGTCTCCAGGGCGTGATGTCTACGAGGCTGCAGATCTTTTGCAGCGTCGGATCTCAGGGTGCTCGGACCCCATCGTTCGGGCGTTGGCATGACTGGGTTTAGGGGGACCTGGCTTAATGATGTGTATTGGGGGACGCCCCCAGCTCCGTTCCACTGACCAGAACTGCCGTCACCCGAAAAAACACCAGCTACGGCAGACCTGGTTTAGTGATTCTGGCCAACTGAAGGGCTCCGGGGGCCTACTACTAACCGGGTCCCCTTTCGGGAGCGGCCAAGAGGGGGGTGTCCAAGAGGGGGGGTGCAAATCATAACCGGCGGCATATGCGCGGCCCAGCGGGGGGGCCAGGGACGCACTGAAACAAGAAGAGGCGCCATGAAATCTGGGGAAATATCATGGCCCCCGCCATTTTGCCGCCCCCGACCCTTGGTTTGGGGGTCATAACTCGGGTCCCTGGCGGCCGTTCGAGACGATCCGGGCATCCCCGGAACGCTCTCGGCGAGGCGCAGCCGCTGGAACGCCTCCCGAGGGTGAAGAATCGCCGAGAACCGACGAAACCGCCCGAAAACCGCCCGAGGGCCTACTACTGACCGGCTCCCCTTACCTGGGGGCCTGGGTATGCCCGACTCTCGGAGGCCCGGAGCGGGGGCTCCCCGCGGCAGCCGGCTGCGGGGCCTCGAGGCCGCGCCACCGCGTCCTCGCGGAGGCGGGCGCCCCGCGCAAAGGCCCCGGAGCCCCCTCCCCGCCCCCCCCCCCCGCCGCCCCCCCGCCGCTCCACCCCCAAAAAAACTGCCCCGATCCAGCTTTGGGTCGGGCCTGTCCCCCTGCAGGCCGATTTTGGATGAAAAAAGAGAAATACTCAAACATACTCAAAAGTTGCCCAAAAATATCGAAGGGATGCCCAAAAATGCTCAGAAATATTCAAAAAGAGTCACACATGCTCAAACATAGCTAAAAATAGAAAAGCTATGTTCGAACTGTCCACCTGTGGAGGAACGGGCCCGACTCAAATCCAGCTCCGACCTCCCGAGGCCTCTCGACTTCCGCGAGGCGCTCGGGCGACCCCCCTGGGGATGGCCCCCCTCCTGGCGCTGCCCGAGGTGCGTGGGCGGTCTCGGGGGGGGGGGGGGCGCCGGGCCCCCCCCCCCCCAAAGCGCGGCCCCGAGTTCCGAGACCCTGCAGCTCGGCTGCTCCGGGGGGGGGAGCCGGAGCTCCCCCCCCTTCGGCGGCGGGCCCCCCTCTGGCTGCAGCCAGGGCCTCGAGGGGCCGGCGGGGGGGGGGGGGGGCGAGCCCCAGCGCGCTCGCTCGCGGGGGAGGGGCCCTCCGTGTGTGCCCGCATCGAGGGCCGCTCGGGCGAGGGGCCGCTCTTGCCCGGGCAGCCGATGCCTCGCAGCTTGCGGCGCGGGGCCCCCGGCATCCCCCGGCATCGGCGGCGAGCCCGGGGGGAGAGCGAGGAGGGGCGGGCCGTCTCAGAAGGCTCGGAGGCCCCCCTGCCCTCTGAGCAGCTTCCCGGGCCCTCCCCGCAGACACAGATCGAACACTCCTCAGGAGGCGCGAGGACTTCCGAGAAGTCCCGCCGCCTTCCAAGAAGGTCTTCTCCTTCTTGCTTCCCCCCCCGGCGCGCCACCGAAGTTGGTCTTGGGGGCATAACTCGGGTCTCTGGCGGCCGTTCGAGACGATCCGGGCATCCCCGGAACGCTCTCGGCGAGGCGCAGCCGCTGGAACGCATCCCGAGGGTGAAGAATCGCCGAGAACCGACGAAACCGCCCGAAAACCGCCCGAGAACCGACGAGACCGCCGCCTTTCAAGAAGGCCTTCTCCTTCTCACTTCCCCCCCCCCCTCGCTCGCCGCCGACGAAGTCCCGACCCGCTCCCCGTCGGACGTCGGGCAGCGGGCGTCGGCCGGAAGCCGAGAGGTGCCGCGGGGGCGCTCTGCACGCAGGGGGCCAGAGCGGGGCTCTCCGACGGACGGCGGCCGGCGGCGAGGCGGGAGCTCGCGAGCGAACGAGAGACCCAGAGATCCAACGCATTGGAAAAAACAAGACGGAGATGTTTCGCAAATTGCGGCCCCCAGGGGCCCTCGCCAGGCCTCGGGACCGTCAAGAAACGACGCAGCATGAAAAGCACGTCCTGGGGAATGGATCGAGGCTTCCGCGGGCCTCGGGACCGTCAAAAAACGACTCGGTATGAAAAACAGGCCCTGGGGAATGGATCGAGGCTTCCGGGGACCGCGTATTGAAAAAATCCCGACATCGGATCTCTGGGGAGAGAGACACATGATGGACAGAGGGGCGACAAAAAGAAAGGGGTCTCACGCGAGGTGCCATGCAGTGGGGGCCCGACCTCGAGAAGCCCTCCACGACAGACTCAACCCTGAGACCTCAGGATGTCAGTTCATTTTTGGTGCGGGAGCGTCGCGCTTTCCAGAGCAGAACCACCGAAACCGAAGAAGCCCAGGGCACCCTGCAGGCAAGCAGCGTGATTCTTGGCACGGGTCTCCACTGCAGCGACCTCACGCCGCGGCTTCACGCGGGACGCAAGCGAGGCACACCAAATCGGAGACGAGGGCGCGTACGCGCGAGCTTACGCGCAGAGTTTACGCGCCAATGCCGGCGAAGACGACCCTGTTTCCCTTCATCGCTCAATGGACTGCAGTCGAGGTGCTACCAGAGGGAACGCGAGATCAGGAACGGAGCCCCTTTTTGGCCCCAGAGGCGCCTTTGGTCACGAGGAGGGTCAGAGGAACAACCATGGCAGGACCTACGGAACGGCGAGGCCCTTCCGAACCCAAACTGCTCCTTATTTCAGCGTCTTGACCGTAATGGTGGACCCTCTTCGGCTACACGCAAGAGTGACCCTGGGTAAGAGTGGCCTTTGGTGCGCGGCTTTTTGGGGGCCGCGGGGGGGCCAGACACGAGCGCGCAAGACGATTGGAGGACCCACGTGGGCCCGTAGCAAAGGTCACTCCGGCGAAAGGTTACTCTTACGTGTAGTCGACGGTAATGGTGGACCTCCTCCTCCTCCTCCTCCACCTCCTCCTCCTCCTCCTCCTCCTCGGAATCCCCAAGGATAAGATGAAGCCAGGACGAAGATAAAATCGGGTGAGGAGAAGTCGAAGATCTCTGAGATCCGGCGGCTCTGTAGGATGTCTCGGGCGCCACGGCCTTCTCAGAGAAACGCTCTGGAACGGAATTGTCCTCGTCCTAGCCCCGTCCGAAAGGACTTCACGAAATCGCCCACAATACAACAGATCCGAAGTCAGGGATTGGCCCTGAGGGATGGGGCCCTGAGGATAGCAAACGGATCACAAGTTGAACGGTCAATAATTTGGGGTTCTCGTCCTTACCCAGATCTTCGACGCCATGCTCTATTCACAACGTGGACCCCCCCCCCAGAGGCCTCGACACATTCCCCAGGACTGGTGCTTCATCACGGCGCGGGCGGGGGAGGAGGAGGAGGAGGAGGAGGAGGAGGAGGAGGAGGAGGAGGGAGGAGGAGGGAGGAGGAGGAGGAGGAGGAGGAGGAGGAGGAGGAGGGAGGAGGGAGGGAGGAGGAGAGGGAGGAGGAGGGAGGAGGGAGGGAGGAGGAGGAGGAGGAGGGAGGAGAGGGGGGAGGAGGAGTAGGAAGGGGGAGGAGGAGGAGGAGGGAGGAGGAGGAGGAGGAGAAGAAGAACCTCCCGTCGTGATCCTGCCACGACGCGAGTAACTATCGAAGGGCCCCCCAAGACCTGGGCGTAGACCGCCGCCCCGGCGACGGGCTCCTGCAGGGCCGCGGCGGGCGCCCGCGCCGCGGCCGGCCCCGCGGGCCTCTCCGGGCGCCCGAGATCCAAGGATTGTAAAAAAGGATTGCAAAAAACCCTCGATTGAAAAAAAGGATTGCAAAAAAGGATTGCAAAAAAAGATTGCAAAAAAGGATTGCAAAAAAGGATTGCAAAAAAGGGTTTTGTTGCAATCCTTTTTTGGTTTCTTTGCAATCCTTTTTTGCAATCCTTTTTTGCAATCCTTTTTTGCAATCCCTCGATCTCTTCGGGCCGGGCGTTCTCGCCTCTTCTCGGGCCCCGGGGGCCCTCGCAGATCGCGATCCGGCTCGGAAAAAAAGTGGCGCACGAGGGGTGGGGTCTGCGCGTCGTTCATGTCCTGATCGTGCTCCTGCCAGATTGTGCTCGTCTCTGGTTGTCCCTGGCCCCCTGGTGGCCAGGAGGCCCAGGATAGAGCAATTAGAAATGAAAGGCTCTTGGCCCCCCCAAAAAACAATGAACTTTCGGAGAATTAGAAATGAACAATGTGTAGGGCTCTGGGCGCGATTTCTCACGATGTTGCAGTTTTTTGTCGCTGCGTCGGATCTCAGGGGATGCCCAGCAGCAGATGCCGTCCAAAACCGACAGCGGCCGCCGTGGGGCAGGCGGCCTGTACCGTCTCGAACCGGGCCCCGCCCGCGGGGACGCCAGCAGCGAGTCCTGCTCAGGATGCGCAGGAGCCCTCGACTTGTGTTGCTCCCATCGCACTTACGGACCACATTCCAGTATGTAATTTCGAGCACCCCGAGAAGTGTCGAAAGAGTGTCGAAACAGTGTCGAAACAATGTCGGACGAGAGTCTCCCAGGGCCCGACACGTGAAAACCCTCGAGTTTCGGTACTTTTCTGGTGCTCGAAACTCTTCCTGGCAATCAAGGCTAAAGTAGGTTGGAACATCATAACCCTCGACCTGAGCTTTCCGCACCTTCCGCGCGGAAGGTGCCGCCGTGGCCGCCGCTGCGGCTTCGGCGGTGACCGCCGCTGCGGCCGCGGCGGCGGCCGCGGCAGCGCGGCACCTGCCGCGCGGAGGGTGCGGAGAGTGCAGGTCTAGGGAGCTGCTGTCGGTCTTCGTGCGCCCGGGCCTGGGCCAGAAGAACATCCCTCGAGAACACGAGACCCTCTGTCGGCCAGCACAGACTCAGACAGAACATCCAGGGCACCTCCCCCAGGATGCACACGAGCATCCAACGAGCACGAAGAACATCGGGGTACCCTCCACGAACCGACCTCGATCTTACACCTCGGTCCGACTGCACCCGTTTCCATCGAACCGAGCGCCGAGCCGGGCGCGCCGCGGCGCGCACCGTGGGCGCGGGCTGCCGCGGCGCCGCGTCGGCCGGCGCCCACGTCGGCAGCGGGGCGTAGGAGGCGCGCGCGGGCGCCGCCGGGCGCTTGAGGAGGCCGCACGGCGGCCTGAGCGCGGGCCCGAGAAGCCTCGGGAGCGGGGCCGCCCGATGCTGCGTCGGGGCGCCTGCGCCCGCGGGCCCCGCGGCGGCGGCGGCCAGGGCGGCCTCGAGGTCGTCGGAGAGGTGCGCGTCGTCGTCCGAGTTCTCCTCGTCCTTGCGAGGCGGGGATCCGTCCGTGTCCAGCGCCTGGTCGAGCCGATGCCCTGGGGCCCCCGTGAGCGGTGGGTCTGCATACGTCTGGGCCCCCCCCCTGCAGGCCCAGGACAGAGCCGTGATTACCCACCGCCCTTCTGGGCTCCAGGAAGATCGGTGTCCAGGGCGGTGGATACAGCGGAGGCCAGTCCACAAGACATCTTCCACAAGAGACCCAACCCTGAGACCCCAGGGCGTCCATTGATTTTTGGTCTGGGAACGTCACGCTTCCCGTAGCAGAAATATGGAAACCCAATAATCCCAGGACACCCTGGAGGCAAGCAGGGCGTTTCTTGGCATGGGCCTCCCGTGTGAATTAAGTCCCTGTCTCGGATCCTCCTCCTTCAGCTCCAGGTCCGCCGCCCTGGTGGCCCTGGGACGCGCCGCGCGGACCGCCGCCACGCCCAGGGCGCAGGCGGCGCAACCGCACAGCGCGGCGCCCATCGCGGCCCAACGCCACGTCCCGGGGTCCTGGTCCGCCGCCTCGCTTCGGGCTGCCACCGCGGTGCCTGACGCTGTCCCGTTGCTCGTGTTGGACGCCGCCGCGGTGAGTGACGCTGTCCCGTTGCTCGTGGTGGCCGCCACCGCGGTGCCTGACGCTGTCCCGTTGCTCGTGTTGGACGCCACCGCGGTGCCGGACGCTGTTCCGTTTCTCGTGTTGGACGCCGCCGCAGTGCCTGACGCTGTCCCGTTGCTCGTGTCGGACGGCCTCAGGATCGATCCGACGGACTCGCCAGCAGAAGGGATGACAGTCAGCATGTCCCTGCTCGGATTCGATGCTGCCGCCTTCGCCTCAGTCGCATTCAGCCTGACGAGTGCGGCCGTGGTCGTAGTGAGCGTGCTGCGCAGGTCCTTCTCCAGGGCATCGGTGAGGCCCGTGCTCAAACCAGCGGCTGCCGCGTGGGCGCGAGCGCCTGCCGCTCCCACGGCAACGCCCACAATGCTTCCCACAACGCTGCCCACGAGGGCCTCCTCCCGCTCCGAGAGGCCCCCGTGGGTGGCAGCACGAGGCTCCTCTGGCGTCAGAGCGCTCGCCGTGACCGTGACGCCACTGCCGTTGCGACTGCGCACGAGGGCGCACGTGTGGCCCGGCCTCGGCTCCATGGACTGGACAGGGTACCACCAAAGCAAGCACCTCCCGTCGTGGGCCTGATACTCCATGGCCCGGCAGTATCCCTTCAAGGAACAGAGGCGCTCAAGGGGAGCAGAAGGTGATTACCTACTCCACCAGTTTGGCGGAAAGGATGGAGAAGGCGAAACATATTACTCGGTGACGTACCCAACCCAGTATATCCATATGGCGGGTCTATGTATGTATGTTTGTATATGTGTGGACAAAGATGTACGTATGTACACACATACGCACATACATGCATACATCCATACATACATACATACATACATGCATGCATGCATGCATGCATGCATGCATGCATGCATGCATGCATACATACATGCATACATACATACATACATACACACATACATACATACATAGATGTTTACCTACATACGTACATACATACAGACATACATGCATACATATATATATATATATATTCATGCATGCATGCATACATACATACATATATACATACAAACAGCACAACAAACACACACACACATTCATAGATATGTACATACATACATACATGCATACATACATGCATAAATACATGCATACATCCAAACACAGACATACATGCATACATGCATACATACATGCATGCATGCATACATACGTACATCCATACATACATGTATACCTACATGTATGCATGCATGCATGCATGCAGGCATGCATGCATGCATGCATACATGCATGCATGCATACACACACACACATACATGCATACATACATACATACATGCATACATATATACATACATACATACATACATACATACATACATACATACATACATACATACATGCATACATACATGCATGCATGCATGCATGCATACCTACATACATACATACATACATACATACATATATACATACATACATATATACATACATATATACGTATGTATGTATGCATGTAGATATGCTCGCCCCCATGTGACCATACAATTTGCCTTGGCTCCGAAGCTTTCATGTTTATATGATTCCGTCCTCCCCCTCATCGGCTCCCCGCTCTCCGTCGCTCCTCATCCTCTGATCCTCCTTCAGCGGGGCAGTGCAACCTCGGGCTGGGGGCGGCGGGGCAGCGCAAGGTTTTTTAGTGTTCTCTCGCGCTGCATCCCAGTTCCTCTCTAACTCAGAAGGGGGATGATGAGGAGAAAAAGGAGGAGTGAAGGAAGAACTTTATACTATGAGTGAGAAACTATCTAACATGAGTGAGGAGACAGTGGAGCTAGAGATAACGAGCGCGATCCCGATGATGATGACGATGATGATGACGATGATGATGACGATGATGATGATGATGATGATGTTGATGATGATAGTGACGACGATGATGAGGAGGAAGAGAAAGAACCCTTAAAA